TTCTGGTATTGCACAAGATGAGATGCTGCAGAAATTAAGTTAAAAACTCCATACTGAAGAGAAGACTACTAAGCTTTGCTCAGGCCTACTGCTAAAATTCTGGCAGCCAAGCTCATAAGCTTCCAAGAGAAAACTGGAGGATTTGTCTCTGGGGGGAAAAAGGGCCCGACTAGATACTGACTTTGAGGACTTCTGGTAAAAGAATCAGCATCAATCAGCATCCATTGGGGTGCCTGGATGGCTCTGCGGGTTAAGCCTCCAACTTCAACTTAGGTCATGATATCATGGCTCATGGGTTCCAGCTGTGCTGACAGCTCAAAGCCTGGAGCCTGCTTTTGTCTCCCTCTCCCCCCGCTCACACTCGGTCTCTCTCAAAAATAAATAAAAAGTTAAAAAAAAAAATCACCATCCACCAATCACCCTAAGGTGAGGCCTACAAATTAACAAGCCCTACTAGTAAGCTTTTAAAAATAAATTAAATATTAGCAGAAAGCCAAGGATCACTAGACACAGAAAGCCCCTAAGATCAAGAGGGCTGAAAACAAGAAAGAAAAAGAAAAGTACATTAATCTAGAAAGTCCAACAATCAACTGACATGAATTGAGGGAAAAGGAAAAATGGAGCAGAAAATTATTGAAGAAGTGATACAAAAAAACCTTCCCACAAACCAGACATTTTTCCAGACCATAAAGGTATATAATAGCACAATGAAAGCAGGAGGGGAAAAAGATGCATCAGCAGAGTGTGGTTACATGACCATCCTCAAAAAGAAAATAAAAATAACTTCTTGTGCACTCTTTTTTCTTAAGATATTCCCAGATTGCACTCCATCAAAACACAGCTGTAAAAAAAAGGTCGTAGGGCACCTGGTTGGCTCAGTTGGTGGAGCATGAAACTCTTGACCTTGAGTTTGTGGTTTTGAGCCCCATGTTGGGTATGTAAATTAAAAATAATTTTTTAAAAATCTTAAAAATAATACTAATACTAAAAAGGGGTCTTAGTTGAATCCAGGAAGCAAGGAATCCAGCACTAAAAGATACATAAAGGAAATCTCATTGATGGTGATAAGAAATCCCAAAGTTTAGTTGTGCTACAAGACTAAGAATAACCCGTATGGATGGAAGCAACAGAACAAAAGCTCCAACAAGATGTGTCTAGAAAAATGAGGAGTCAATAAATTATTTGGTATGTTTAACTATACTGAAGAGTTTTCTCCCTAGCAAACTCTGTGGATGAACTGATAAGCACATATAAAATTATTTTAAAAACTCTATAAAGGGAAAAAAAAAAAAAAACCCCTCACCCACAGGCAAAGAGTATTAACGCTGAGGGGAAAGAGCAGAGTTGTAAAAAAGAGAATAGTCATGATATACTATATATGGCTCAGCTGTAAAAAAAACATTTACATTTACATAATCATAAAGCACACACTGAAAATTGATTCAACACTTATATTTGTGCATAAAGAAGCTACTGGGAGCATATGAGGACAGGAAAAAAATGTGTATATATGGAGAGTGGGGAAGGCAAAAGAACCAAATAGTCACTATTCATGTTAGAAGCCTACAGAATGCTAAAACAGAAAAAAACAAAAATTACAGTATAAGCATATTATTTAAATCTATATAGGTAAATACCTAATAGCTAAAGGAGTTGAAAACAGTTGGCTCTGGAAAGTGGGAATTGAACTGGAGGAGGAAGAGTAGAGGGAGGACTACTCCCACTACCATTTTTTCCTTTGTAAGACTTACAGTACTTATGTGACTTAAAATTATGTACGGGGCGCCTGGGTGGCTCAGTCGGTTAAGTATCCGACTCTTGATCTGGGTTCTGGTCATGATCTCATGGTTCATGAGATTGGGCTCTATGCGACCAGCACGGATCCTGCTTGGGATTCTCTCTCTCTCCATCCCTCCCCCGATTGCGCGCTCTCTCTTAAACAAAACTTTAAAAAGTATTAAAAGTATGTACATATGTTACTTTGATACAGACCTGAAACAAAATTGTAAAAGTGAAAGAAAAAACTAAAAAGTATAGGAGAAATTTCAGTAAATATATGAAAAGCATTGGAAATTGTTTTTCTTTTCGTGAGGATCAATTTTGAAACCATTTTTCAAGTTAAATATTAGAAAAGTAAAAATATTCGAAGTACCCAGAAAAGCACACTAAATTACTGTAGACCTAAAAAATTTCAATGGAGAAATGTTATCTTTCTGGACAACAGTAGCACAGCCCACATTTTGGCTAAAATAAAATTATTAAATTACCTTGGAGGTTGAATTTTGAATTTTTCAAAGACTTCTGGATAAAGTAATGGAAACACCACCATCTCTTTTAGAGCTGCAATATGATTAGACAGGCCACCAATGCTATCAAATCGTACCTGATAATGGAAGGGAAACATGGACATTCTCAGATTTGGAATCAAAATTAAAATATCACTCCATTTCTATACTAGGCTCAACCTATACACAGCCAACTGAGTAACAGCATTTTAGCTGTAGCCTGAAAAAGTCTGTAAAGTTTCGGATTTAAAGAAAAATTGGTTAAACTTTAAAACTAAATTAAAACAGTATTTAAGTTCAAGCATACAAGATCGTACTCACTGAAGAATCTAGTTGCATTGGATCAACATCTGCAAGACTTGCTCCAATCTTCATTCTATCTTTATAAATTCCTTTTAATTCATCTTTCCGAAAATTTAGTGGGAGGCACCTATTTTTAAAAAATTAAAAAGAAACACCCATTAGGGTGTTGGGTAGCTCGGTTGAGCATTCAACTTTTTTTTTGTTTATTTTTGAGAGAAAGAGAGAGAGACAGAGGGTGAACAGGGGAGGGACAGAGAGAGAGAGAGAGGGAGGGAGACACAGAAACCAAAACAGGCTCCAGGCTGATGTGGGGCTTGAACCCATGAACTGTAAGATCATGACCTAAGCTGAAGTCTGGCGCTTAACCGACTGAGCCACCCAGGCACCCCAAGCATCCAACTCTTGATTTTGGCTCAGGTCATGACCTCAAGGTTGTGGGATCAAGCCCACTTTGGGCTCCATTCTGGGTATGGAGCCCACTTAAGATTCTATCTCCCTCTACCACTCATGCTCTCTTTCTCTCTTAAAAAAAAAAAAAAAAAAAAAAAAAAAAAAAAAAAAAAGACAAATAAATAAAAATAAAATAAAAATAAAACACCTATCAGTTCACTTTCTCCCCCAAATTCTATGTCAGAATATGGACATTTTTCCTAAAAATTTAAAAACAAGTTGGGGTACTTGGGTGGCACAGTCAGCTAAGCATCTGACTCTTGGTTTCAGCTCAGGTCATGAACTTGTGGTTTGTGAGTTTCAGCCCCCACATCAGGCTCCATGTTGGCAACGTGGGGCCTGCTTGGGATTCTCTCTCCCTCTCTCTGCCTCTTCCCTGTTTGTTTTCTCTCTCTCTCTCAAAATAAATCAATGAACATTATAAAAAATAATTTAAAAAATTTAAAAAGTTAAATTTCAATCAGCAACTGTGAAATTATGTATTTCAACTTCATTTTCTTTATAGGTTGAGAACTTTAATGTTAGAAATATTTATACCTGAAGTTTTATTATCAGAGATATACAGTCAAACGAAGTGCCAGTGTTCAAGATGCCGCAGCATCATAAAGTAATTCATGGTTAGCAATTCAGACTGTATCAATATACTTTATAATGATTGTGCTTAACATATACAGAGTATTTACCACTTGTCAGGCTGTTTTAGGTGCTTTATATGTAATAGTCCATGAAATCCTCAAAACAGTCATTTATTGAGTAGCTATTATTTCTCCTATTTTAAAAGAAAACTGATGGGGTGCCTGGGTGGCTCTGACTCGTGGTTTTGGCTCAGGGCATCATCTTGCAGTTCATGAGTTTGAGCCCCGCATGCTGACAGCATGGAGCCTGCTTGGGATTCTCTCTTTGCCCCTCCTCTGCTTATGCTCTCTCTCTCTCAAAATGAATAAATAAACCTTAAAAAAAAACCTGAGGCACAAAAAGATTAACTGAAATGCACAAAGTCACAACTGGTTAAGTGTCAGTTCCTGGACTCAAACCAAAGCAGTGTCTCCAGACCTGCAATAACTCTGCTACAGTACCTCTCAGCAAAATATTCATAGTCCACCAAGCACCTTGGATCCACATCAACCATCTCAAGCAAGAATGAATCACTACTTTCCTAACTACTTTCAAAAACAGTTATAGTAGATTATAAAAAATACACCTAGAAGTACCTGCTTGTTTTATAGATGGAGAGTGGAAACTGCTTATGTTAGAGGTTACGACACGTTGGAATGCCTAAGAAAAGAAATACAACTAAACACAAGTAAAAGCACACCAAACTCACCCCAAGTGACAAATCTTGGTAACTCCAGACTCCACAAGGAATTTATACTGTGAAATCTAAGATGAACACGTTTTCAATTGTGGCTTTTTAAAAGGTATTTCTCAAATAACTCATTTATTTATTTATTTATTTATTTATTTACATTTATTTTCGACAGAGCATGAGTGGGGGAGGGGCAGAGAGAGGGAGACAAAGAATGTGAAGGAGGCTCCAGGCTCTGAGCTGTCAGTACAGAGCCCGGTACAGGGCTTGAACCCACAAACCGTGAGATCATGACATGAGCTGAAGTTGGGCGCTAAGTTATAATTCTTAATAGAAATATAACTGCATGATATAGAAACTACAGGATTAGATGTACATTTCTATGAATGAAGGCAAAGAAACATCAGTCTAAGTAATACAGGTTTTCGATGATCTAAGTCACTGCTGCCAACAGAAATGAAATGTAAGTCAAAGGTGTAATTTAAAATTTTCTATTAGATACACTAAACAAAGAAAAAGTAATAATATATTTCACTTACCCCAACATATCTAAAACATACCATCTCAATATGCAAAATAAATACTTAAAAAACTGAGATACTTTACATTCTTTCTTATACTAAGTCTTTGAAATCCAAGAATGTGGTGTTTTTTTGTTTTTTTGTTTTTTTTTAACAAAATTTTACAATATTTCTCAATTCAGATTAGGTACATTTCAAGTGCTTAACAGCCATATGTAACTAGTGGCTACCATACTAGGGCAGAGCCAATGTGGTAAAAGAATAGAGCTTAGGATACAAAGAATGGTTGGTTTGCACGTCCCTTCAATTATTATGTTTCTAATTGCTTCACCATGCAGTTTTTACTCTATGAGAATATTACTTTATTAGGATACAAACCCTGCATTTTTTCACTCCCCTGACCACATCTGTAAAATGGGTATGATCCTTGCTATAAACTTATATATGAACTTACACGAACTTATATTACAAAAAGTTATGAAATAAGTAAACCCATTTTCCTAAAGAGCTCTATAAGGATGTATTATTATAATTATTATAAACAGAAAAAAATGTATTTGAAGTGAAAAAATTTCAAGTTTCCTCAAGTCCATGTTTGTCAAGCACCATTTGAGCTATACAATGGCTGTAAAAGAAAATGTTCTAATGTATTTTAAGTTTCAAATATAGATGTTTCAAACAAGATGGCATTCTAATTTATACATTAACTTTTTGTATAAATTTTTACATGTTTATTTATTGGGGGTGGGGGCAGAGAGAGAGGGAGAGAGAGCATCCCAAGCAGGCTCTGTGCTGTCAGTGTCGACCTGACGTGGGGCTCAATCCCATGAACTGTGAGATCATGACCTGAGCCGAAATCAAGAGCCGGATGCTTAACTGACTGAGCCACCCAGGTATCCCAAAATTTTAAATTTGGTCAAGCTGTATCTGCTCCCAAATTATTCAGCCTTCTCACCACTTAAAAAAAAATAGCTTATAGTATTAAAAAGCATCAGTAGAAGACATACCTGTTGATAGCTCTATTGCGGCTCCTTTTTCTCCGTCTCTCAAAGTGCTGTTCATCTTCAGAAGAGGAAGATGAAGTAGAGTCACTACTGTGGATTGCATGCCTTCGCCTAAAGTAAAGAGGAAAACTGAAATCATGACGAAGGAGGGCAGGAAAAACAGAGGCATAAGATGCAAACATCAGAATTACCTAAGGATCCAAAAAGATTTATCAAAAAATTAATATATTTGCTGAAGCAATGAAGTAGGCTTTGATGGTTCAATCTTTTGGAGGGAATAAAATACAGGGATAACTGAGAGGAAGGGAAAGAGATAGGTGGCTGTGATAGAGCTGACAATCAAATGTTCGTTATGATAGAATATGGTCCAAGCAGAATGACTTCTTAGTCTTGATGTAAATCAGTTATCCTCAAAGAGAAAGGTGGGAAAAAGAGGATATTAAACTCTTTGGGACTATAACTTCAGAAAGCATTTTCAATATTATACCATATATAGTTTCACATTTGTAATATTATACTATACATAATTTCACCTTTTGAAATGTCAATCTTAAAAGGAGAACAGGAGAATTTTTATGCAAACCAAAAAGGATCAAGAAGAGTTTAAAAAATACTAGGAATACAGTGAGAAGTAAGATGACCTTTTATCTACAGTATCATCACCTGTAAATTTACAACTATCATTTACTGCTGTGTCAATTGGATGTATTACTTAACCCATATAAGCCTTAATTTTCTCACAAAAAGGAGGTAAGGATATAATCAAATTCTTAGGCTGGTTGGTAGTACTAAATAAGACACCAAGTGCTACAAATACTGAAAAAAAAATTCAATCACTTCTACCTTTGCATTTGTTGCAAAACACCCATAGGAAAAACAAAGAATCTAGCTGGGAAAACCTTTAATCATTGGCTCAGGGTCTAGAGCTTTTCCTGAGTCAGAGTGCAATCACAGTAAGTAGATATTTCCAAAAATATTAAAGGTTCACAGTCTATTATTTCCATAACATAGGTGCAGAATCTTATACTCTGAGAATAAGTTTTTCCACTATTCACTTACCAGGATCTGAAATGTCATAAAGATGGGGGGGAGGAGAAAATGGGTGATGGGCATTGAGGAGGGCACTTGTTGGGATGAGCACTGGGTGTTGTATGTAAGCCAATTTGACAATAAATTATATTCATTAAAAAAAATGAAATGTTGTAAAGGAAATTCAGTCTCTATTTGTCCCACTTACTATGATTATTCATATGTTCTGCTATTACACATTTGACTAGGCAGTGCTGGCCCAGACACTCCTAGAGATGTTAATGTTATACATTACCTTTGTAATTCCACCTTCACCCCAGTCTGAATTATGAAACACAAATGGCCCCACAGGTTTTGGATAAGGGGTTTCTCACAGATATTTAAATGAGAAAATAATCCTCCAATGTCCACCTCCCCAAACATGCCCAAGACTATTCTTATGATTGGCCTGAAACTAAAACTATCTAGTACAAGTGTGCAATTTTATATGAAAGACTAATTTATTTAATATTACCATTAATATTACAAAATAACTCTAACCTGGAGGCACATAATTCACATAACAGTAAGTGAATTCCGTATGTATTCACATAATGAAGACTAACTTCACAATAAAAAGGACTAACATTTATTAAATGCTTCTTGTACCAGATAGTAGATATATTATCCCACTGAATCTTAAGTAAAGCTCTGGACAAGTACATATCAGCAGGCTCACTTTAGAGTTGCAGCCAATGTGACTGGCTCATAGTTTAAATAACTTGCTTAAAATATTAGAATTAGGCAACGATGGTGTCAGAACTCAAACCTTTGTCTATTCAAAAAACCCACTTTCTATATACACTGGTAATTTCCAGTTGTTTATTTCACAAACCAAAAGAATTATAAGCAAACAACAAAACCTGTGGACTGAAATAAATTTTCCAATGTTTGATCTGAAAAGGAATTAAAAGAAAAATTTTTTAATGTTTATTTTTGAGACAGAGTGTGAGCAGGAGTGGGGGATGGCGGGGGTGGCGCAGAGAGAGACGGAAACACAGAATCCGAAGCAGGCTCTAGGCCCTGAGCGTCAGCACAGAGCCCGACACGGGGCCTGAACTCATGAGCTGCGAGATCATGACCTGAGCTGAAGTCGGACGCCCAACCGACTGAGCCACCCAGGCGCCCCTGAAAAGTAGGGTTTTTAAGCATTGTAGTTATAACAAAGACATAGAGCACTCAATACATGCCAAATAGTAGTTTAAATGCTTTTCGTGTATTAACTCACCTAATTCTCACATTACTGTGAGACAGCTAATATCATTCTCATTCTATGGGTCAAAAAACTGAAATGAGAGGTTAAGTAACTTGCTAAAGGTCATTAATAAGTGGTAGGGCTGGGCCTGAAACCTAGTCATGGGTCCAGGGTTTTCACAATTACTCTATACTGTAGAAAGGCCATTTTTTCAGTTTTAAAGAGATTCTAAACACCCACACCCACACTCACTCTTTATTTTTCATTTTACTAAAAATGTTTGAAATTCTGGCATAGACAAGTGCTGGACCAGCACTGTGAACTTAGTCAGTGTTTAGAGTTGCCAGTTCTAGCACCTTGACACCAGGTAAGGGGCACTCTGGAATACTGGTGAAGCAACGGTACTAGGTTACCTTCAGGTTCAAAGGGATTGGGCTTGTTCCAGAAACTGCAGACTGAAACTAAAGAATAAACCTTAGATGAGTAGAGGTGAGTAATCATAAGAAAGAAAATCCTGCTTAAAGGCAGCGTTCCTGAACCTCTGTTATGGTAAGCACGCCAAAAAACCCTTGGAAGATCCTGCACTGCGGCTGCAAGGTTTTTCGACCATTTGCCATGGGTACCGAGAGCAATGCCCAAATGATTCTTTGGATGTGTGGTCTGGTCCCATGCCTAAGTAGGTGAAGTAGGACATGAATATAAACATAAGCTGGTCTCTTTAAGAAAAAGTAAAAAGGCTGAGCAAAATGACCATTACGGTGTTAAAGGGGAAGAGATGTTCATATCACCTTGGTAAGAGTGTTGGGGGGAAAAAAAAAGGTTTAAAGGGCTACATTCAAAAGGTCAGATAATATTAACAGTTGAGATGTGGAGAAATTGGAACATGCATACATTGCTTGTGGAAAAGTAAAATAAAGCAGCCATTCTGGAAAATAATTTAGCAATTCCCTGAAACAGTAAATATAGTTAGCATTTGATCTAGCAATTCCATTTTTAGGTACATACCTAAGAGAAGTGAACACATAAGTCCATACAAAAAGTTGTTCACAAATGGTCATGGTAGCATTATTCACAAAAAGTAGAAACAACCCAAATATCCATCAGCTGATAAATGGATAACCAAAATATGGTATATTTATACAATGGAATCTTATTTGGCAATAAAAAAGAATGAAGTACTGATACATGCTAAACGTGGATGAACCTTAAAAATGTACCAAGTGAAAGAAGTCACTCACAAAAGAGTCCACGTATTTGAAATACTCAGAATAGGCAAATCTACAGAGACAGATAAAAGATTAGTGGCTGCTCAGGGCTGTGGGGGATGGAGGGACTGGAGATAACTAAAGAATACAGGGTTTCTTTCTGAGGTAAGAAAAATGTTCTAAAATCGTTTGTGGTTATAGCTGCACAACTGTGAAAACCCCTTGAACTGTACATTTTAAACAGGTAAACTATATGGCATGTGAATTGCATCTCAATAAATCTGTTATCAAAAAGAAAAAAATTTTTACAAAGCTATCAAAACCAAAATCAGTCATTAAGTCAAATAATGTGACTCAGGGTACAATTTAAATATCTTAGTTCATACTTTAATTTAAATGTGTCAGAATGAATAAACAAACAAAAAGCAGAATCAGACCAATAAGTACAGAGAATAAGCTTGATGGTTTTCAGACGGGTGGTGGGGGGGTGGGGGTGGTAAGGGGGGATGGGCAAAATGGGTGACCAGGAGTGGAACATACAAAGCTTCCAGTAATGGAATGAGTAAGTCACAAGAGCAAAGGTACAGCATAGGGAATATATCGTCAGTACTATTTTAATACCGCTGTTACGGTGACAGATGGTAGCTACACTTGTGGTGACCAAAGCATAACAGATACAGTTGCTGAATAACTATGTTGTAAAATTGAAACTAATGTAACATCATGTGTCAACTACATGCAAATAAAAAATAAATAAATACATAAATACATAATAAAATAACAAATAAATGTGTCAAATCTTCCACTAGTCTATGAGATCTGAGGGCAGGAATCCTGACTTAAGTCATTTTTATATCCATAGTGCTTAGTACATGGTAGTACTCAAACATTTGTTAATTGGAGAAAAAAAAGTCCTGCACTCAAAGAAGTATGAGACACTTTACATAAATAAATGGTAGACTCTGTGAACCAAATATGGGAACCTGAGCACCAAAGGAGCAAAAAAAAAAATTCCTACCTGCTGCAAGATCCATTATAGGTGGTGACTACAGAGGCAGTCATTAAATACATTACTTCCAGAAACATACCCATTAAAAATGGAAGAAGAAATTTAATCTCAAAGTAACTGCCAGCCTTTTTCACTTCTGTTGGATCTAGTAGAGGTTTATCCTTTAAGTCAGGCAACCAAGACAGCTGCCCTGGGCCTTATGCTTGGAGGGGATTCCAGGGAACATTACACTTTACCCCCCTTTTCTGTAGATCATTAGATTTCACTATCAAAATACTGGTCTTTAACAATATTCCAAAGGGGCCTATCAAAAGTAATGATAGTGTGGCCTCCTTTCAGGTGCAATTTATCTTGGGCAGCTCTGACAGGTTGCCCTCCTGACCCTTCATCCTTCTGGGCTCTGGTTTTATGGAAAGGGATGATGAAACAGGAAATCTAGGATGTACGCTTGTGATTTTGACACTCTGAAAATGAAAAGACCTAGGGACACAAGCAGTATTTCATATTTTTCCTAGAAGAATGTCAGTATTTACAAAAGTGTTGCTTTCAGTTATTAGTCTGCTTCTATGAGGAGACTTCCAAGAGCTGTTCAAATAGTTGAAGTCTCATAGGATTTCAGTCTCACCTCTGAGGAAATTAATATTAGAAAAAAGTACCATTTCCACACAAATGTCATTTTTTCCCCTGTCTCTTTAATCTTCACCACGAGCTCTCTCATTCATGAACTACTATAATGTTATTATTACCCAGAAAGTTTTAATGAATCACAAAGCCTTTTTTAACTTGGGAAAATGAGGAAATAACAAGAACTACCTCTTTGGACTTAAATATGACAGACAACCAACAAGTGTTATGATGTAGAAGGAAAAGAAACCCACAAATAATTTTAATAGTCAAAGAAAATTAATGTTTCTTACTATATGAGAAAAAAAATTTTTTAAAGTGGAAATAAAACCTCAGGGAAAAAACCAGATCCAGAAGAGGATGGTTAGCATTGTGAAAAGTCTAGAAAGCTATGTAACCTGGAATGTTTGTCACAGTAAGAAAATATGTCTGTGATACTATGTGAAATAGTAGACTTAACCTACACTCTAACTTAATGTGAAGATTAAATGAAACAGTCTATGTGAGATGCTTATTAACACCAAGCCAGGAATACAGTAAACACTGAAGCAAAGGTAGCTCTCTATTAGTAAAGTGTGGAACAACGGAATAAACTACCTTACCATGGTAGTTACTAACTACCTAGTAATGGAAGCAACAGCAAAAATCTAGTCAGTGGTAGCAGGGATAAGAGCACTATAGGCATAGAGAGAACTCTCCAAGATACAGGATTCTAGAATTCTATCTGGATACATCCAGTCCTAAAACTCTAGAATCCTACCTATCACAGCCACAATTACGTTGTTATAAATCAATCAGTACTTCAGAACCAAACCTGTTCATTCGTTTACAATAAGGACTTCTTGGTCCCGCAGAAGATAATCTATATCTTGGTCTTGCAGGAGAAGCTGGGCCAGTGTAAAATATGTTGGGCTTTCTCTGGTGACGAGGTTCTAAAAAGAAGAATTATAGGTATGTGACATATTAAGTAGTTATGAAGATAATTTTGTTCTTCACCTAAATACTTACAAAGGTGCTGCCTTCCATGAAAATACTAGTACATATCTACCAGACTATTTTACTGTTCATGTTTAAAGTCATTTATGTCTGCAGGGTTGCTATTGAAAATTATATAAAGCACAGACACCCACCCAACCAAAACATACACTGGCCATAAACAACCATTATGATTATACTGATGCATAACAGCTGGTTATCAGCCCTGCATATATATGCTCATTAGGACTGAAACACAACTGTAACATAAATCAAAAGCAGTCTTATTTACACAAAGTGAAAAAATAAACTAAGTTGAAAGCTATAAAATCTACAGTAAGTAAAGACAGACATGAAATTTCAAAATGGCCCAATTATTTGCTTTGGTCAAGGCTAACATCTAACTTTCTTGAAGTAATGACTTCTTGCACATTTAGGATAATTTAAGAAAGACAACAGCCATGGATATTCTACAAAATGAAAACATGAAAAATAAGAATAACAGAGGAAAAGCAGTAAAGATAAAAGTAATATAATTACATCTCCTAGGACAAATATATGTAACACTTACTTTCCAATGGAGCCTGGTAATAAACAGTAGCTTTTCTCTGTCTAAGATAATATCGTTTCTGATTATCTTCTTCCCCATCTTCTTCATCTTCATCGTCATCATCTTCATCATCTTCGTCATCATCTTCATCTTCTTGGTCTTCACCCTCTTCAGATGATTCTACAGTTAAGAAACATTTACTTTCAGAATACTCACCAAAATGTTAACAATTTTTAATAAAGGGGAATTGAAAGAGAAAGAAAGAGACCCTCCTTTAAAAATTTACTTCTAGATTGCTCATAGAAATGATTCTTTCGCAGCATTAAATGAAGATTTTAAAAAATGAAGTCAACTACAGAATTAAAAATAACTAGAGGAAGGAAAAAAGGAAATAGGGAAAGATGTTTAAAGGCTACTGTCAGTAGTACCAAACTAAAGTTTATGGTATTGCTGCTGATTTCATTAATATAAGTGACTATGCTTAAGTTTCCAAGTTAATTTAACATGTTGACAAATTAAAGTATCTCCTCACTTAGCTTTTTCCTTTAATTTTTTCATTTTTACTTATTTTTAATTTGAATTTTTTAAGTAGGCTTCACGCCCAGTGCAGAGCCCAACACAAGGGCCTGAACTCATGACCCTGAGGCCAAGACCTACGCTGAGATCAAGAGTTGGATGCCCAACTGACTGAGCTACCCAGGCACCCCAACTTTTGCCTTTTAAACTTAAGTTTTAAATTCCATCCAGCCCTTCTGGCTGTCACTGAGCTACACAGAGCATAACTCAAATATCTACTTACAAAAATGTAAAACACCCTCACCAAATATTTAAAATGCGTTTCAGAAAACTGGTTTTCACTCAAGAAAAGTTCTAATAAATTACAGTTGTAATTCCTAACAGAAGAGCAAAACTTAATTTTAATCACCTTTCAACTAAAATTGGTAGAGATGTGTTGTCTATAATGCATTATATAAGCAAACCAGGTTTATCTGCTTTAGATTTGTAGATTTCAAGTACTTTCCCAAACAAAACACACTATCCTTTTAAGCTTTCCCCTGCCCTCACTTTTATTTCATTTTATTTTTTCATTTTTTTTAAATTTGAGAGAGAGAGAGAGAGAGAGAGAAAGAGAGAGAGAGAGAGAGAGAGAGAGAGAGAATCTTAAGCAGGCGCTATGCTCAGCATGTGACCTGAACCGAAATTAAGAGTTAGACGCTCGGGGCGCCTGGGTGGCTCAGTCAGTTAATTGTCTGACTTCGGCTCAGGTCATGATATTGCGGTCTGGGAGTTTGAGCTCCAAGGCCGGGCTCCCAGACAGCCTCAGAGCCTGGCCTCCTGTTTCAGATTCTTTGCGGGTTCTCCTCTCCCTCTCTCTCTGACCCTCCCCCATTCATGCTCTGTCTCTCTGTCTCAAAAATAAATAAACGTTAAAAAAAAAAATTAAAAAAGAAAAAAGACGCTCAATCAACTGAGACACCCAAGTGCCCCTCCCCTGTTCTCACTTTTAAATTATGACCAATCCTTTGATCTCTCACAAAATACCAATAATGTCACAGCTTCTGAATAGAAGAGCTGAGCTATATTCTACTAAATAAAAAGTGCTGAAATTCAAACCCAGAAGTAAAACAAAAGACTAACCCACACTGCCTTCTTGATTGTCAGTTGTTTCCTCATCAGTTCTTTGAATACCTTTTTGTTTTCCTCTTGTGTACATATTAAGATTCTCCTAAAAATGTTTAAACAGAAGCCATTAACATTTAGCATATTTATTTAAAAAATTCAGTAGGACCTTCCTATCTTGCTTAATAAAATGAAGATATTTATAGCTATGAACTGTTAAAACTCCAGCAATATCTAGTAACTGATCAAACAAATGCTGAACAGTTTAAAGATGTTGAAAACAATGAATAATTTACCAAAAACGGATAGGTACTATAGAAAAAAAGGTTAAATTGGAGATCACTAAATCAGCCGTGAAACAGGAGATATTCTTTTTTACTGAAGTGTAGCTGACACACAATGTTGCATTAGTTTCCAGAGTGAGGAAGGATATATTTACTTCTTCTGTTTCATTAAACACTCCCAAGTCTTCAAGTTCCCTCATTCGCTGTCTACGCATCTTCTTCATGTCATCCATTTTTTGAAGTACAGCTTCAGCAGTGCTTTAAGAAAATTGACATAAATATAAGCTAAAACTGTAAAAGAGTGGTACAGTTTTAAAAGCTTGATTTTTCTCCCATTATATTTTTTAATTGCTGGGATTTTAAATATCTCTATACAAGGCACTGATTTACCTGTGTAAAAATATTCTATAATTTTTTTCCAAGAATTTAAAGATCTATATAGAATTATTCAAAATCCTCTAATAATCTTTCTCCCTTTTGCTTTACACAGCTGAATGCATTAAACACTCAGGCTAGTTGAAATTTATGATCCTTCCCCAACAACAAATTATGCCACCTAAATCATCTTGATCTAAATAATTTTTACTTACTTTGTTATAAGTTTGTCAAACAGCACAGATTGGTTCACACTACTGTAACGACTTCGAATCCTACAACTTCGGCGAACTTCAACATCACCATTCTCTTCATGCAAGCGTTCTTTAGTTTGAACAATGTTTCTAGTCCTCAACGAACGAGTAACCGGAACCACTTTGTCTTCAAGATGTGTAAATGAAAATAAATGGAAAGATTTTAAATAATGGCATTTATAAAACAGTTCTAAAATGAACAATTGAATAGCTACACTTTCGTGTAACAAGATCATAATATCTTGAACTTACCTATCTTAAAAATATTAGGAAACAAAAAAAAAGTTACAGCATACACCTACCATACGATCCAGCCATTCCACTCCCCAGAGAAAAGGAAAGATATATAGTACAAAGATTTGTGTTCAAGGCAGGTTTCTGATAGCCCCAAACTGGAAACAACCCTAATGTCCACCAAAAGATGAATAAACAAATTGTGGGAAATAACCTAAGTGTCCATCAATGGATAAATGGATAAAGAAGATTGTAAAAATATACACATATAAAAGAACACTATTCAGCCATGAGAAAGAAGAATATCCTGTTGTTTGGATATTCTTCCAAATACCTAAGGTCCATAGATGGACCTTGAGGGCATTATGCTAAGTGAAAGAAATCAGTGAAAGACAAATACTGTGTAATATCACTTAAATGTGGAATCTAAAAAAAGCCAAAATTGTAGAAACAGATTAGGATGTTGGTTACCAAGGCCTGGGAGGTGAGAGAAAAGAGGCAATGTTGGTCAGAATACAAATTTCCAGCTATAAAATAAATAAGCTCTGAGGATTTAATGTACAGTACAGAGATTATAATTAATATATATTGTATTATATACTTCAAAGTTGCTAAGAGAGTAGATCTTAAATGTTCTCACCACAAAAAAGAAATAGTAATTATAGGACATGATGTTGGTGTTAGGTAAAACTATGACAGTAATCATTGTGCAATATATAAATGTACCAAATTAACATTTGTTGTACACTTTAAACATACACAATGTTATATGTCAATTATATCACAATAAAGCTGGGGGAAATAACACAAATTGTGGTATATTCATATACCAGAATACTCAGCAAGAAAATGCAACAACATGGATGATATTCAAAAGTAATTATACTAAAAGAAAGCCAGACAAAAAAGAGTGCATACTGCATAATTTCATTTACATAAAACTCTAGAAGATGCAAACTAAACTATAGTGATAGGAAGCAGACTGGTGATTGATCAGGAATCTTGGGGTGTGGAAAGCCTGGAGAGGAGCTGGGGGTATGATTATAAAGAGGCCTGAGGAAGTTTTTGGCAGTGATAGTTATCTTTACCATCTAATTGTGGTGTGGTTTCACAGCATACATTTGTGTCAAACCAAACAAACTGTATACTTTAAATATGTACAGTTTACTGTATGTATCTCAATACATTTGTACACAAAATATGAACTACAGGTTTTTTTTTTTTTAACGTTTTATTTATTTTTGAGACAGAGAGAGACAGAGCATGAACGGGGCAGGGGCAGAGAGAGAGGGAGACACAGAATCAGAAGCAGGCTCCAGGCTCTGAGCCATCAGGCCAGAGCCCAACTTGGGGCTTGAGCTCACGGACCGCGAGATCGTGACCTGAGCTGAAGTCGGACGCTTAACCGACTGAGCCACCCAGGCACCCCTGAACTACAGGTTTTAAATCTGAAATGACTTTAACATTATTTACCTTCTTTGCACTCTTCTTTTTTCTTATCAGCCTGCTGTCTGGCCAATTGCCTATATAAAAAAACGCATTAAAAATTTTAAAATAATTGACATAATCTTAAATCCCGTATTTTATGATAACTAAAAAATAGGGTAAAAAGTTAAATCAGCTTGGAGAATACTAAGATACGTAAAAGGCTAAAAAACACTGAAAAATAAAAATCTTTAGAATATCTATGCTCATGTATGTTTAGTTACGGCTAAACAAACTCTGAGAAGCCTGTTGTGAAATGCAATGATACATGCATGAACTCTTAAACAGAATTAATCAAAGTATCTTAGTTAAAACAAGAAATTATATCATTAACCTAAGTATTTGGGTATAACTGAACTGTAAGTATTGAGCAAAAACAAGACAATGTGTTTTATATCATAGGAATATAGTTATTGCACATCCTTGAAATATTTGTAACTATAAACAGAACTAATGTCCCTTAGTGATATGTTAATTTCCTTCTAAAAACATTTGCTGGCTACTAACTTTATGACGTGCATTATCATTCACCTGCAGAAACAGTCCCATTTATGAATCAGATATCCCACTTACAAACTGGCAGACAGAATCTACTGAGTTGGAAATTAAACACTTTCAAAGGCTTAAAAAAAACAAGTACCCTCCCCTAATATTTCTTCCAAAATCCACTGAACAAACAAAACAGTTTATCTCATTAACTTATTTTTAGGGACACAATTTTCCATACCTAGATAGCTACATCTATCAATCAACTTATATGTCAAGCTATTTGCAAGTGGGCTGGTTATACACATGGGATTTCAAATGTGACATTTTAAAATAAAGTGGAACCATCTTATCCAAAAGTTAAATCATGTGTCCTCACAACAATGTAAGTCATCATTAACTCATTATCTCTTTTGGTAAGAACCAAGAACAAAATAAAAACATTTGAGCAATCCATCAACAGGTCAGGGCTAGCTTGTTCACAGGCTCATAGACATTTCTCATAAAAGAACCCCTCCCTCCATACCATGCAGGTCTACACTTCCTATTAGTCCCTATTAAATGCTAGAACACAATGATAAAACAATGTTCTGTCCGCCTCCTCTCCTCTCCCTCCTCTTTCTCCCTTTCTCACCTCCCTTCCTCCCTCCCTCTCTTTTTTCTCTGCCTGTTGGGGAATGGGAGCACCTCTCCCCTTGCAGGGGTTGATAAACTTTTTCTTAAACAGTTAGATAGTAAATACTTTAGGCTTGTGAGTCATAGTCTCCGTCACAACTACTCACAAAAACAATTCTAACAACGAAGCAGGAAAGCAGCCATAGAATGAATGGGCATAGCTGTGTTCCGATGAAACTATTTACAAAAACAGGTGTCTGGACTTTTCTCAACTCCTGCGAATCTGATAAAAGCTACAGATCTTTTCTACCTAGAAAACTGCATATACACATACAAGTTTATATCTTCTTTCAGAGGTTTCATATGCCCCCTGAAAACTATGATTATTGGACCATAATTAAGAACTACAGGACCAAAGAAATATAGATCCTGCCCTCAAGGTACAGTTACTCAAATCTTTCTATATTAGTCTAACAGTCTTAGTCCCCTGGTCTTTGAGCCTCAGAGAGAAAACAAAAGAGATGGAGGGACATAGAAAGAAGTAAAGAGATTACTACACTCAGGCAAACTAGCAACACAAAAAGGGTCACCCTGGTAAGAAACAGGAAACTACATGAAACAAAATTCAACAATACTGTAGGCCACTTTATCTAAGTCTTATACAAACAGATCCTGATGTTATCACTATGTAAAATAAGTCTTTGTAATAATGATCTTAATTCAGAGATTATTTAAGATAGAAATTCTTCCCCTCAGAAGGCATATAAATGGCCAATAAGCACATGAAAAGATATTCAGTGTTATTAACCATCAAGGAAATGTAAATCAGAACCACAATGAGATACTTTCACACCCACTAAAACGGCTAAAACCAAAAAAAGATGGACTATGACAAGTGTTGACAAGGATGTGGAAAAACTGGAACCCTGATACACTGTTGGTGGGACTGTAAAACGGTACAGCTGCTTTAGCCAACTGTTCAGCAGTTCCCCAATGTCCCAGCAATTCACTCCTAGGTATATACCCCAAATAATCAAAACCCTATGTCCACACAAACTGAACACGAATGTTCACAGTATCATTCATAACAGCCACAAAGTAGAAACAATCCAAATGTCCATCGTGCAACGGAATCTTATTCAGGAATAAAAAGAATGGAGTGCTGATGGGTACTACAATAAAATGAACCTTCAAAACATACCAAGTGAAAGAAGCCAGACACATAAGGCCATAAATACGATTCCATTTACATAAAATGTCCAGAATAGGCAAATCCATGGAGATGGAAAGTAGATTAATGGTTCCTAAGGGGACAGTGGGGAGGGAGAAGGAGGTGGGAGATAATGTAACAGGATTTCTTTCTGGGGTGGTGAAAAAGTTCTGAAATTGGACAGTAAGCGATGGTGACACAATATTGTGAATATTCTAAAACCACTGAACTATATATTTTAAAATTGTGAATTTTATGGTATGTGAATTGTATCTCCATAAAGTTATTATTTAAAAACAATCTGAAAAGACAGGAATTCAATATATTTTCGAAGGAATCAAATTTAAAAATACCAAGTCACTCATCTTTAATTCTATTTTAAAACATTCCTTTATACATTTTGAACATAAGGTCCAGCACAACTTGAATAAGGTACAGATTTTTTATTCATGTTTCACAACTTGAATAAGGTACAGATTTTTTTAAAAGATAAAGACTTTAAGGACTTCCAACATTAAATTTTTTTGACTATGTACAAGCCAAACGAGACATAGATTTATTTACATTTTATACAAATAAAACTATGCAACTGACCACTAACAAAAATATTAATATGAGGTTTTGCTGAAATAAAATAGCCATTTGCTGTGTGAATATGGTACAGACTGCCATCAGGTTCTCTTAAATTTGGTTTGTTGTATGTCATGACTCAATTCATCCACTTCTCTTTTTGAAGTATTCCAAACCTTCATTTCAACAGCATGTCATGACATCACATCCATGGCTTTCTCTTCAAAGCATTATTTATGTATTAAGGTCAGACTCAGTTTTATCTCATGAGCCTGAGATAATTCAAGCAGTACTAGTTACTGCCAACTAGTTGTAAACACAAATGTAGGGCCTGAGATTTTATGACTATTCTCTGCAAGGTAGCAATTTAGATGATCCAGAATGTCAACTGTTACTTCAGATCATGAAATAAATTTTAAAATTCTCACACAGAATCCATGGGCCACTCCCCACACCCCAAGAAGACTTGAAGTTTCAGAAATACTGGGGTAGTTTAAATTGTATTTCAATCCTGTAAGTTGTACATTTCTCCCCCCACTTTAGCATCTCTGAAATTAGGGATGTGTCTTAAAATTGATGGAATGTCATAGTTTAACTTTCGGTGTTTTCTCTTTTACTGTCTCATGAAATAATGAGTGTTTAAATTGCTGCTATCTTGGATCCCATGAAATACAGTAGTAAACATGCCATAAATAATGGATGAAAAAATGGATGCATATTTTAAAATGTGTAATGAAAGACTATTTTTAAAAAAAATTTTTTTTTTCAACGTTTATTTATTTTTTGGGACAGAGACAGAGCATGAACGGGGGAGGGGCAGAGAGAGAGGGAGACACAGAATCGGAAACAGGCTCCAGGCTCTGAGCCATCAGGCCAGAGCCTGACGCGGGGCTCGAACTCACGGACCGCGAGATCATGACCTGGCTGAAGTCGGACGCTTAACCGACTGCGCCACCCAGGCGCCCCATGAAAGACTATTTAAACAACAGTAGCAAAAAAATAGTAACAAAAACAAATTTAAAAGGGCATGATGTCATTTATCAGGAAAATCTGCTACATAAAATAATCAAAATAAACTTAAGAGGAGGGTTCTAGTCCTATAAGTCATTATGAGAAATTTATGAGAAGAATTTATAAAACAATTATTTCATCAAAAGAAATTTATTCTAATTAGCACTTTCCTGCTCATTTATGTTAGGCCCACCAAAGTGGGAGGAAAAGTAAAGGTTTTTAAAGATTTTTTTTTTCAACGTTTATTTATTTTTGGGACAGAGAGAGACAGAGCATGAACGGGGGAGGGGCAGAGAGAGAGGAAGACACAGAATCGGAAACAGGCTCCAGGCTCTGAGCCATCAGCCCAGAGCCTGACGCGGGGCTCGAACTCCTGGACCGGGGCTCGAACTCCTGGACCGGGGCTCGAACTCCTGGACCGCGAGATCGTGACCTGGCTGAAGTCGGACGCTTAACCGACTGTGCCACCCAGGCGCCCCAAAGTAAAGGTTTTTAGCTAATTAAATTTAAATCTGCCCCTAACCAAACAAATCCAAGTTCCCTGAATCACCTATCTAAATTCACTAAAACTAATTCCTTGAGTATTAAAATGGAATTCATGCCACCTACCTCAGGGTTCTTGAGAAATGAAATTTAAGTATGTATAAAGCATCTAGTCCCCTTAGACAAGTAAAGAAAAAAAAATCATGTTCTGTCTCCTATGTGACTGCTTTAGAAGCATACTAACACAAATTCATAAATAACTCAGAACTGATTTGCTTGATAGCAAGCAAACAGAAATATAATTCCTATTTTGAATAAAGGCTTTGTATAATTATGAACAAAACCACATATCATAAACAAGTTAAAATGAAAAAGTCACAAATACACTCAAATAGTCTCAAGCAACTTTGTCAGCTGCACTCACACATATCACAAATACTCTCTGTGAACAAGAAAATAAAAACAAACCTGGTACATATTAAAATTTTAATTCAATGATATTCATTTGTGGTAATTTCATTTCATCTTGATGACTGGTCAAGAATACACTTAAAAGTTAAATGCAAATCCTAAGTTACTTTAAAACTATTTTGAATTGGAATTCAACCATCTTGTATTACCTTGTAAAATGCCTTCCATTAGCACGTTTCTCTGTTATTTCCATATTCTTATCAAAACTAGAATCTGAAGAATTCTGTGCATTTTTTCTCAAAGACCTTAAGGCACGCGTCCGGTGGTAGGTTTCAACTTCCTTAACTGAAGACCCATCCTTTAAGAAAAATTAAGAAAGCCATCTAAGTTTTTCTTCAAACTCTCTAGTTAAACTCCTAAGAGTTTTCTTTGATTACAAGTTTTTAACAACTGCTTTTTGTGCAGAATCATTCTGCATCTCCCCAAGAAACTACAATAGTATCTAAACAATCATTTCATGATAAACAAATACCAGCAATATCTATGAAATAGCTAATATAAATTTTATTGATGGTTTGTGGCTCTATTTCATAGCAAGTACTCCAGGGAATAAAGTATATAGTTTATAACAAATGCTCCTTTTAGGCTACAGAAATAAGAAAGACCCACACACAAACCATTGCCTGTCATGCAACCACTGGCAGCAACTTTAAGATAACTGGACCATCAGAACTATAATTTGGGCTTGGATGACAAAAGGAGTTATTACCATCTCTTTCACAGTTTCACCCAGATGATGCAACACTTGAATTAAAAAATTGTTTATGTATGTTAATCTGTTATAAAAACCATAGTGCTCTACGTAACTTTATTATTGCTCAATAGACTAGAGTTTCTCTTAGTGGGCTGCTTTATGAGCTACAGAGCTTGTCATGAAGTATTCAAAAGTTCATACATATCTCTCTGAAATCATATAAAGGCTACTTTCACATAAAAATAAAAGGCCAAAGTACCTAACAAGTCTCTAATTACATGCCATACTACTCTGAAGATTGGTAATTCTAGAAAAACAGGCAGTATTTTTAAAAACCTGCAACATTAGTGTACCCCCAACCCCTTAGGCTGGCTTTACCCAGTCATTTCATTTTGTTTTATCAGACATTTTATCATTTAATTTTGCTTTGAGCACTGGTTCACAAGTAAAATAAGGATATGTAAACCACAAGGATTTGTGTTAAGAATTAGACGGCTACTTCATAAAACATTAAGTGATATGAATGGTTTGATACCACTTTTATCAGTGTACCTACATGTAAGGATGGTTGAAAAAGGAATACCTTACACTTTTAAGTAGGTGTATTATTTTTAAAATGAACAGCTACATCTTAGATGGGTATAGTATAACAAGACTTTCTAAGAAAAATTTTATGGGAATCTATTTCCAGATTCTCAACTTCCATATGTACTTAAAAAAAAAACAACAAAACTGATTTGCGTGAAGGCATCCTCTTCCATTTACCTTTCTCTCATTTTACAAAAGAAAGTCATGTCTCTCACTCATTCTCCATCTTACCATTGTGGACTGCCTCAAGGCCTTAAAAACCTTCCTAAAGCCAAAGAAAAACACTAGTGCAGGTGTTAAGAAAGTGAATGACAAAGCAAGGCAACAAATCCTTTGTTAGGTAAGGTAGTTTCTAATTTTCTGCTTTCAACAAAACTGAAAGGAGACCTAATCAAGCTAAGAGACCATGAAAAAATTTCTGGGCTAATGTTTTTCGGCATACAAGCCAGAAAGTGGCACTGCTAAACTCCTTTCATTACTGTCTACTTACTTATATGAACAATGTTTTTCATTTCTCAGTGCTTGCATTTATAAAAACAATGAAACTAATGACAAACATGATCTTCAGCAGTAAGATTCTTCCACAGATATATGGGTGGGGGGACTTCAACCACATGAAATCCTAATGAAATCTTACTTTCTATGTTTAATCATTTTTAATCAAAATAAGTATGTTTTTGCTGTTTGAATCAATTGAATATTAATAGATTATATTTCTTATAGCCTTGTGATCACAAAAAAGTGTAAAACACTTCGAATTTTTACAAGTACAAAAGGACACTTAAATTACTTTTAAGTACAAAAGTATATCAAGATAAAATACTGTGGGTTAAGTGAATTGAGAATACGAATTAAAAGAGAGAAAAAAAAAGAATTAAGATAAAATTTCTGGCTGTTAAAGAATGTGTTTATGTATTTTTTAACGTCCAAGACAAATATTAAATAACTACGATTTTTAGATTCCAGTGGATAAAAAGACCGATGTAGCAGTTTTATTTTTTTAATGTCAGCACTATAGGATGACAGAAATGATCCCCTTCCTAACTACTTAAACCAATCAGGATGGGAGAAACCTTAGATAGCAAAACCATTTTAAGGGAAACCTTTAAAAGTACAAGAGAATACAGAGAAACTCTTAGAATAAAACATGGGCAAAAACTTTCATAACATTGGATTTGACAATGATTTCTTAGATATGACACTGAAAGTACAGATAACTAAAGAAAAAGATCTGGAATTAATCAAAATTGCAAACTTTTGTGCCAAGGATACTATCCACAGAGTGAATGGAAACCCATGGAACAGGGGAACGTATTTACAAATCCAATTAACTGACAAAGGATTGATATCCATAATATATAAAGAACTCCTATATTTTAACGACAAAAAACAATAAAAGAAATGGGAAGAAGACTTGAATAGATATTTCTCTAAAGAGTATATACAAACGGCCAATAAACACAAAAAGATACCAAACTAGTCACAGAGAAACACAAAGCCAACCTACAAATGAGATGTCACTTCACACTTGCTAGGATGGCTATTATAAAAAAGAGAAAATAAGTATTGGTAAGTATGTGGAGAAATTGGAACCCCTGTACATTGGTGGTAGGGATGCAAAATGGTACAGCCACTGTGGAAAATGATATGGCAATTCCTCAAAAAATTAAACACAGAATTACCATATGATCTAGCAATCCTGCTTCTGGGTATTTACTCAAAAGAAGTGAAAGCAGCCATTTGTATTCTCATATTCACAGCAGCATTATTTACAATAGCCAAAAGTAGATGCAATCCAACTGTTCAATGATGAATGGATTAAAAAACTGTGGTACTTACAGTAGAATATCATCCAGCCTTTAAAAAGGAAGTAAATTTCAATACACTGCTATAATGTGGATGAACCTGAAGACATTAGGCTAAGTAAGATAAGTAAGTCACAAAAGGACAAATATTGTATGTTTCCTCTTATGTGAGGCTCCTAGGGTAGTCAAATTCATAGGGACAGAAAAGAATGGTAGTTCGTAGGTGCTGGGAGGAGGGAAGAATGGGGAGTTACTGTTTAATGGGTACAGAGTCTCAGTTTTAGAAGATAAAAGATTCTAGAAATGGATGGTGATGATGGTTGCAGAACAAAATGTACTTTAAGGCTACAAAACTGTACACTTAAAAATGGTCAAAATAGTAAATATTATGTTATCAATGTTTTATTACAATAAAATAAGCAAGTAGTATCATCATACTCCTGAAGATAATAAAAAAGGTCTGTTTCCATAGGAAAAAGAGAGGGAGGTGCTAACTACTGGGAAAAAAGATTCCCTGAAAAACTTGGAAGACTTAATTTTGTAAGTGGTATAAGTCAATCTTTGATTTGCATAGTGAGTAGCTTCGTTCATACTCCCTAAATAAGTGCTAGGCATCAAGAAAAGCTTTCCTTAACTGTTTGGAGAAAAAACAAAACAAAACAGATTCTTGGGGAATCACCTACATAGAGGTACATAATGGGGAGTTTTAAAATACCAGTTTTCAAAAATGTTTCTTACAAAAGCAATATAAACATAAAAGCAATACATACTCATTATAATTGGAAAATGAAGAAATGCACAAAGATGAAAACATCACCCTTAATTCCAGCTACCCAGGATAAATGTCAACCTTCTGGTGTATTAACTATTCTTTTCCTATGCAAACATATTCACACGATATTTAAATTGGACTATTATTTATGTTTTGTAACTTTTTTCTAGTAACACAAAACATTTCCCATGCCCTGAAATACTATTCTAAAAATCTTCTAAAATGAATGACTAGTATTCCAGCCATTACCTGAATCAATTTAATAAACTGCTTAATGAATTATATTTAAATTATCTGCAATTTTTCGTGTTATAAATACTTCCAGATGGATTATCTTATAAACATCTGATTTCCTAAGGAAACTAGCACAGTTATTAAACCAAAGTCACAGTTTAATATAGCTTATCAAAATAATCCTCAAGGGGTAAGTTAAATGCCAACTGTGCATTAACATTTGATGATAGAAATGAGTACTTTCACTTTCTATTTTTTACATTTTTACAACATGTATTACTAGAAAAAAATTTTCTAAGAAGTAAAAAGCCAAGAGAAAACATGCTGAATCTGAAAACTAAACCTGGAGATGTAGTGTCCTCATTTATTTTTTTTTCAATCTACTTAAATAACGAGAGCACTGATAGTTCTTTAAAGTGGAGTTTTAAAAGAGGAAAAAAATATTTTGTTAAGATTTTTCAGTCTCTTATACTCTTGCAGAATCAGTAAGTTAGTTCAGGGAAGAAGCAACAACAGAACAAAAGCTTTTCCCTAAAGTAGATACAACTGCGTAATAGAAATATTCTAGTATGTTTTCCCACAAAAGACCAAGCTCATCCAACCTTTAAATTCCTAACAAAAAATATGTATGTGGGTCAGTTGGTTGAGTCAATTCAAGTCTCAATCCAACCACTGAAGTGTAAACAGGATTTTTAAAATCACAGTTAAAATACTGACGTAAAATGTATTCATCTAGACATAGGACCCCTTGAAAGCTTGATCAGCATATTCTAATACACAATGGTATACATGTTATACCTAGTATAGCAGTGATATCCCTCCTAAGCTTCACCTTTTTTTTAATGTTTATTTTTGAGAGAAAGAGGGAAGGAGGGAGAGAGGGGGAGAGGTGGTGGGGGGGAGAGGGAGAGGGAGAGAGAACGTATGTGTGCACACTAGCAGGAAATGGGCACTGAGAGTGGGAGACAGAGAACCCAAAGCAGGCTCTGTGCACCATCAGCACAGAACCCAATGTGGGACTTAAACCCAAGAACCGTGAGATCATGACCCAGGGAAAAGTTGGACACTCAACGAACTGCGCCACCCAGGCACCCCTCTCCTTAGCTTCATCTTTAAATAAAGGTGTGTGGGGTCCTGTCTTCAACATGAATCTATTCCACAAGCTCCAGCAATTTGATTTCTACCTCTTCAGCTCTTAAAATAGA